AGTGTGAGAGATAGAGGGAGAGAGATGGTTAGAGCCAAAGGGAGAGAGAAAGCAAGAGAGATGGAGAGCTAGAAGGATGAAAGTGAGAGAAGAAGAGTGATGGAGAAATAAAAAGAGATGAAGGGTAAGAGATAGCGAGAGAGAGAGAGAGAGAGAGAGAGAGTAATACAACGATAGAAACAAAGTAAGATGGAGAGAAAAAAGTGTGAGAGAAAGGGTGTAGGAGAGAAAAAAAGAGAGATGTATAGTGGGAAAAAGATGATTCAATCATTTCCCTCTTTTTTCCATCTATTTATCTCACCTTTCTATCTACCTCTTATGCTCTTTCACACTTATGTCTTCCTCAATCATTCTCTCTAGCTCTCTCATATTTTCATATTTTTCTATGAGAGAGAAGGGAGAGAGGAGGGAGACTATAAGAAAGGAGGAAGAGAGAAAGAGTTAAAGGGTGAGACAGGAAGAAGATTAATTGAGTCAGTTAACTAAAGAGTGATCAAGGTAAAAAGAGGAAGACTATGAGAGAGGAGGGAGAGAGCGAGAGTTAGAGGGTGATACATGAGGGATACAACAAAGAATGGGAGTTAGTGAGAGAGGGAAGAGGTTGAGAGAGAGAGTTATATCATGAGAAATATAGAGGGGACGAGATCGAGAGAGCAAGAGATAGAGAACATGAGAGTGAGTGAGAGAGAGAGAGTGAAGAGAATGATACAACAAGCAAGAGAAAACATAAGAGATACAAAAAAATATGAGAGCCTAAGAGATAGATAATACAAAAGTGAGGGAGGAGGGAAGGAGGGAGGGAGGAAGGAGGGAGAATGAGAGAAAGTAAGAGAGAGTGGGAGAGATAGATATAGATGTAGTGAGTGTGAGGTAGAGAGGGAAAGAGAGAGAGAAACAAAGAGGGGAAAGAGAGAGAGAGAGAAACAAAGAGAGGGTGAGAGAGGGAATGAGAGAGGGAGAGAGAGAGCAGTAGGGAGGAAGAATGAGTGAAATGGAGAGGTAAAAAGAGTGTGTGTGTTCGAGAGACAAGTAGAAAGAGAGATGAAGGGAGAGCTAGAGGGAGAGGCAAAGAGAGGGAGCACAAAGGGAGTGAGAGAAGCAAGTGAGAGAGAGAGAGAAGCAAAAATAAGGAGGGAGAAGAAAGTGAGGGAGAAGTAAAGAAAGAGAGAGATGGAAAGCCTCCCTCCCTTTTGTGCCCACCCTTTATTGCTTTCTCTCTCCTTCTCTCCCTCCCTCCCTCAATCACTTTCTTATCACAGACACTCTCTCTAACTTTCTCTTATTCTCTCATCAACCATCTATCTCTCTCTCTCTCTCTCCTTTCAACCCTCTTTCTATAACCCCTCTCTCTATCTATTCTTTCTATCTCCTTCACTATCACTCTCCCTTTTGGTGAGGAGCTAAGGAAAGTGAGAGATAGATAGATGGATGAAATGGGATGGAGAGAGGGAGAGCATCATCTCTTTTCTCATTTCTCTCTTGCTCTCTCTTGATCAATATCTATTTCCCTTCCTCTCCTCTCACCATTTTTCTTTCGCACTCTCTCTCACTCCATCATTAGAGAGATAAAGAAGAAAAGGTGAAGTAAGAGAAAGTGATAGGAGAGATAAAGAAGAGGAGAGAGAATGAGAGATTACAAAAGAGAGTGTGAGAGAGTTAGAGTGGGAGAAAGAGGAGAGAAAGGTAAGAAATGAGAGATAGAGATATAGAGAGAGAGAAAGAAAAGGGAGAGAGATGGTTATATTCTCTCTCTCTCCTTCCCTACCACTTGCACTCTCTCCTTCTCTAACTCTCTCATGTATTCTCTCTCTCTCTCTCTCTCTCTCTCTTTCAATCACTTATTCTCTTATCTTTCCTGCTTGATCTTTCTGTATTTTCTTTCTCTAGCTCACTGTCTCTCTCACTCTCTCTCTCCCTCAGTCTCTCCCTCCCTCCATCTCTCAGAGAGTAAGAAAGAGAGAAAGAGATAAAGAGGGTGCGTGAGTGAGAGAGGAAAAGAGAAATAAAGAATGAGAGAGAGAAAGAATAGGAGAGATGAGAGAGTTGGAGGGAGGGAAGGGGATAAGGAGTATGCCTCCATCTCTTTCAGTACTTTGCGTCTCTCTCTATTTTCTCTTTGGCTCTTTCTAGCACTCCCTCTCCATCTTTATCCCTCCCTCGCTCTCGTCCTCTCTTCTATCTCTTAAGAGATATTGACCGAGAGAAAAAAGAAAGCAAGTGAGAGAGGGGAAAGTGAGAGAGAGGCATAGTGCAGAAGACAGATAGAGATAAAAAGATCTAGAGAACAAGAGCAAAATAGAGCGTGTAGAAAGAAAGAGAGAGGGAAAAGGAGAAAGCAAGAGTTAGAGTATGAGAGAGAATTTTTTTTCTCTACCTCCTCATCACAGCCTCGCTTGCTCTTAATCTTTAGCTTTTCTCATTTTTCTGTCAGCTCACTCTCTCTCTCCTTGTCTCTCCATAACTCTTTCTCTCTCTCCCCATTTCCCTGAGAAAAAGAGAGAGGGTGAGAGAGAGAAAGAAAGAGTGATAAAGAGAGAATGATAGAAAGAAAGATATGTCTCTTAATTTCTATCTCTTTCACTCTTTTTTCTCTCTCCCTCTCTCTCGGTTTCTCTCTGCCTCTCTTTATCTCTCTCTTTTCTCTCTATTCTCTCTCATCCTATCTCTTCCTCTCTCTTTCTCTCCTTTTATCTCTAAATTATTTGAGAGGTGGAAAATGGAGAGAGAAAGATAGAGAGATAGAAGAGTGTGATAAGGAAGATGGAGGGGAGAGGGGTGAATGAGAGAGAGAACACACCAGGGCCCGGAAATATGGACACTCTCTCTCTATCTCTCTATCTTAATTTTGAGTGAATGAGGGATTTTTCATGGGAAGAGGCAATAGAGAAGAAATTATGAGAAAGATATCAAGAGTGTGAGTGCAAGTGATGAGCTAGAGGGAGATAAGAAGGGATAAGAGGGTGACAAAGAGATAAAGCAAGATAGAGAGAAGGAACTAAGGATGGATGAAGCTAGAGATAGAGAGATGGGAGAAAGAGAGAAGGGTGAGCGGGTGAGAGAGGAAGAGAGAGAGGGATGGGGAGAAAAGAAGATAAAGAGAGCTGGAGCAATAAAGGTAGGGAGAAAGAGAGAGAGTGTGAGAGAGGGGAGGAAGATAAGATGGGAGGAAGAGGGTAAGAGAGAGAAAATATATATATATATATATATTAAAAGTTGCCTCTAGGGCCACATATAAGTACAACTAGATGATTTTGATATGGGGAATAGACAACATATCCCCATGAAGTAGAAAAGCTAGATATGGAGGAGTGGAGTTGCTAACAAAACATAATTCAAAGTTCCTACCTAAATTAGCTAACCAATGTGCAGGACCAGTACCTTCTCTAGGAATGCAAGTAGGTGTAATATAAATAGAGTTAAAGTATGGTAGGATTTTGCTCTTCCACTTCTTAATGTGCCAAGGAGGAGTATCCAGCTACTGCAAAATATTGAAACAAGTAAGGCTATCAAATTCCACCACTAGGTTTGAAATCTTAGAAATATTGGCAATGTAAATGGCCCAACATATGTTAGGCATCTCAGCTTCCAAGGGATCCAATGCCACAGTTGGGGAGTAGAAGTGTAGGAGACACTTCCCATTGGAGTTCCTAAAAACTCCCTCAATTCCAGCATCACCAATTGAATAGCTCCCATCAGTATTAACCTTTAACAAATTAGGCATGGGAGGAGTCCAATAAATAAGTAAGGGAGGGGGCAGCATATTTTCATTGACATTGGGAGCATAATTCAAACAAATATTATTGAACCTATAATGTTTGATAAGTTTCTGGATATAGGAGGTACAATTTGTTTTCGTGCCTTTTACCACAAGTTGAATCTCATCAAATTTAGCTTGGTTTCTAGAAATCCAAAGAAACCAGGCCACAATGCATAGAATAATAGAAAGCTTGGCTTCATACCAATCCAACCAGCAAATAGATAATGTACCATCTAATTTTAAATCTTTTAACTGATCCAAGAGACCAAACCAAACCTGTTGGGAGAAAGGGCACTGAAAAAACAGATGGTCTAAAGACTCCTCAAAATCATTGCACAGGTAGCAACAGGAGGGTCTCCTTAACCCTTTAAGCTTCAAAATGTCATCAGTAAGTAGTGCATTAGCTAGAGCCTCCAACTGAAAAAAAAACATGGATGGGGTGAGCAGCTGACCCCAAATCTCCTTGCCCCAGCTCACTGGATTCTACTGAAAGAATTTGTGATATATAAATGAAGAAAGCTTTTGTGAAGGAGGTTGCTTGTTTACTACTTTATCATTTTGTCCAGCAAATATTAGTGTGTTTACTACCTGATGTGTCTGAACAGGATTTAATATAGTTTCCAACAACCTTCAGTACCACTGGTTATCAGTCCAGTAGTCTTTCACTTGACAGGTATGGCAGCTACTAGAATTATCCAATTAGAGCTTATCACCATTGCATATCCATTGGTCTAGCCAGAAATTGATTTGGCCCTCCCAACTCCCAGATAAAAAGTTCTTCAGATAAATGATAGGAGATAGGGAGAGAGTTTAGAAGAAAGAGAGAGAGATATAGCAATAAGGTGTGAGAGAGAGCTTGGAAGAGGGCGATAAGAGGTTGAGAGTGAAAGGTTGTGGGCGATGAATAAGCCAAGTGGGGGAGGGAGGTAGAGAGAGATAAAGAGACAATACTGTGAGAGAGATAAAGGGAGAGTGAGAGAGATAAATGGAGGGATAGAGAGAATGGGAAAGAGAGGGAGAGAAAGAGGGAGAATTAGAGGAGAGAGAAGAGAGATTGGGAGAGGTAGAGTGAAAGAGTGGGAGGGAGAGACAGATAAAGATTGGAGATAAGAAAGTGAGAGAAAAAGGAGGGAAACAAGTGAGAGAAAAAGGAGGGAAACAAAGGAGGGAAACAAAGAGAAGAAATGAGATCAAGAGGGAGAGAAAGAGGAACGTTGGGTGGGAGTTTTTGAGGGTAGACAAATAAATGTTTGAGAGAAGAAAGTGAGAAAAAAGGAGGGAAATAAAGAGAAGAAGGGAGATCGAGTGGGAGAGAAAGAGGGACGTGGGGTGGGAGTTAGAGAGGGATAGGGGAGAGAGAAAGAGAGTGTTAGAGAGGGATAGGGGAGAGAGACGGTGAAAGTGAGGAAAGGGGAGCAAACAAATAGATTCAAGGAATGTAAAGATAGAGAGATAGAGGGGTGTGACTGAAAGAGAGAGTGACTAGAAAAGAAAGATAGAGAGATACCTAAGAGTGATGGGGTGAAGAGAGAGACCAAGAGAGAGAGTAAGAGAGAGGGAGAGGTAGGGAAATAGAAAGAAACATTGACAAAGAGAGAGAAAGAGAGAGAGACAGATAGAGCAAGAGAGAATAAAGATAAGAGAGATAGGGAGAGAGGGAGGGATAAAAAGGTAAAGAGAGAGAAGAAGGGAAAGGGGGGTGAAGATAGGAAGGGAGAGAGAGAAGGATAAAGATAGAGTGATGAAACATGGGAGGGAGAGGGAGAGAAAGGACCAAAGTGATGAAATTAAAAATGAAATTAGTAAAGGAGGGCAGGAGAGAGAGAAAGAGAGTGAGTGATGGAAGAGGAAAGATATTGAGAGAGAAAGAAAGTAAGAGAGGTAAGAGAGAAAATGAAAATGGGAAAGATAGAGAGTGATAGTGTGGAAGAAAGAGCTAGTGAGAAGTAGAAAGAGAAGAGAAAGAAAGAGAATGGAGATAGAGATGGAGAGGGAGAGGGATGGAGTGAAAGATAGAGAGATAGAGAGTGCAAAAGATGGAGTGCGAGAGAGGAATGGTGAAAGTGAGAGAGAGAGAGGGAGGGATGGAGTTAAAGAGAGAGGGAGAAAGTGCAAATGATGGAGAATGCAAGAGAGATAAAGTGAGAGGGGGAGTAAAA